GGGCACTTAGGCTGTTCCTCGTAAGGACAACACCTGAGTGCACACCACAATGCCAGTTTAAATGGTTGTTTACCCTGCCACATATACACAATGATACACAAATTCCAAACAGAAAGGACTCCTACACATTTGCTAAAACAAACACTGTATTTCCAAAGCATCTATCTGAGTACAGGCCTGAGCTAGGTGCTTCATCACTGTATAAAGTAATTGAATGAATTCCAAGTTCTTCCTCAGAGAAGTCCAGCCAAGACAGGTGTTGTGTTTTTCCTAGAAACTATTGTTGGGTGGTGCTGATGTTTATATTTGCTAGGCAGTTTGACCTGTGTACTTCTTCCTCCCCAACACACACACACACACACACACACACACACACACACACACACACACACACACAAACCCCTAGGACAAGTTTTCCCAAATGTGGTATATTATCAGGTTCGTGAGGACACCTACTAAAGACATGAGTACTTTGGCCCACAGCCAACATCCAGTGAATCAGAATCTCAGAGGTGTGATAATTTAGTTTCAATAAGCAAACTCAGGTGACTGATGAAATGGGAGGCAAAACTTATAAATGGGCTAGAGAAACCACCTAGGTTGAAACAAAAGCCTAGGACATAAAAGAAGAAAAAAATCCCCACAATTCCTTCAAGGCCCCCATGAACATATTCGCCACATTAATGCCATGCTCTCTCACCATTCTAATTCTCTGCCATTTGTCCCACCTTTCCTGAAAATAACCACTAATGAACTGACACCTTGCCCCACCCACATTCATGAGGGGACACTAAGGCTTCCTGCCCAAATCAAAAATACTTCCTTTCTCAGGACACAGAGCCCCCTGACAAAGCCACCCACGAGAAAGCACAGTTTCCAGCAAGCTGTCATTTTTATTTGACTGCACCCACCTATATGCAAAGGAATTTCAAGCTTTAGTTTAACTACACTTTGGTGGGAAAGGAACCTAAAGATTGTGACCATAATTCCCTGAAAATCTTCTGCAGGGTCCCTTTCCTGCCGCTTTGACATGTGATGTGATTCATTAGAGAAGAAAAGTTTTCACTCTCCTCTAAAATGATGCGCATAAGATGAAGATGGGATCCTGCAGATGGGAGGAAGCTAGATGTTTCCTTTCGCCCTTTCTCTGGGAATCTACTCTCTGCACGGACTTCAAAGATGAATGCAGCATGGGACCTATAGAAATCCAAACCTTAAAGGAGGAAAGAAATCTATGGACAGATGGCTTTAAGACACTAAGGTAAATAAGGACAAAGTCACACGCTGGGATCCCCGATGAAGAAACGGGATTAAAGGACAGGTGAGCGCTGATTTTACATGTGAGCCTGGCAAGACCACAGCGCCCAGGTATTTGGTCAGATAAGTGTTTTCCAGATGACATTAGCACTGAAGTCAGCTCGGAGTAATGCCCTGCATGATGTGAGTGGGCCTTGTCCAATCAGTTGAAGGTCTTTGAGAGAAAGACAGAAATTGCCCTCCAAAGGAAAGGGGACTCAGCCTCAAGTCTGTCCTCAGACTCCAGCTGCCATATCAGCTCTGCCACAGCCTCTAGCCTGACCACATATACTCCCAAGGCAGACAACTGCCCAGGCTGACACCCTCAGTCTTCACTAGCTATGAAAACTTGGAAGTGTATTAACCACCCCATGCCTCAGTTTCTTCATCTGTAAAATGGGATTGATAAGGTGATTCTAAGACATAAGGGAACAAGCAGTCACAAAGCACCTGTTCCACAATACAGCTCATTAATGATTTTTGCATAAAGCCTCATGCTTTGAATCTTCTTTCATCTCCCGATGGCCGCACACAGTCAGACTGAGTTTACTACCCAAAAAAGACTGCATTTATCTACCCAACCCAAGGGAAGCCCAGTTGTTCACACACCCTGGGAGCCAGGCTGGCAGAAGCCACAGTAATGCCAGGTTGTGCCACGCAGAGCTCCTCTCTTTGCAGAGCAAGTGCCCCAAGAGCAGGCGGGCACGAGACACAGACAGACCCAAAGAGCGAGGGGAAGACTAGACACAGCCCCACTCTGGCCAGGATCCAGCTCAAGTCACAGTCCCCGCAAGGCTGGGTGTTTCAGGACTGTCCGACTTCAACTTGCTTGCTCATGAGGCATTTCTCTGGCTTCTTGTAGTAGTTGGACAACTGGGGCTCTCTGTGGGGCCCCAGTCTTTCCTTTTGCTATGGTTTGAATGAGTGTCCCCAAAATCCCATGGTGCTGTTGAGAGTGGTGGAAGCCTTAAGAGGTGGGGCCCGGTGGGAGGAAATGACATCACTGGGGGCGTGGCCTGGAAGGGGATGTTAGGATCAGGCTCCTCCCTCCCTCCCTCTCTCTCTCTCTCTCTCTCTCTCTCTCTCTCTCTCTCTCTCTCTCTTTCTGCTTCTTAGTCACCATGACACGAACAGGGCTCTTCTAACCACACATTCCCACCATGATGTACTGTGCTGCAATGGGCCCAAAGCAAAAGGGCCAAGCAAGCACAGACTGAAACTTCTGAAACCGTGATCCAAAATAAGTCTTTCCTCATTTTAAACTGATTCTCTCAGCTATTCTGTCACAGTGATAGGATGACTAATATGTCCTGGGACAGCCATGCTGGCCAGTCCAGTATTTGTTGTCCGTAATGTGTCCAGTGATGCTCACCCATATGGCACTGGCCTCATAAAGCAGGAGCAGAGGTACTGAGAGGTTTGTAAGAGCTGACCAGAGGGCTTGGCAGCATCTGCCAAATCAAACGACAGAAAGGACAGCACCCCAGGGGGCCAAATGGGGTAAAGGGGCTACAATGGGGTTGTCACAGAAGGCAGGCCTGTGTTCTGAGAAACGCACAGTATGGACAGCTGAGCCTTAAACCTCGAGTTCAAAAATCTGAGTCTGTAGCAAACAAGGAGCTGTTGGAGGTTTTTTTGGAATAAGACTGGATGACTACAACCACACTCTAGGAAATATTCCACATCTTACAAGGACTAAGCAAAAAAAAAAAAAAAAAACTTGTTGTAGGGCCGGGGATTTAGCTCAGTGGTTCCGGGGTGCCTGCCTGGGAATCACAAGGGCACAAGTTCAATCCCCGGAACAAAAACAAACAAACAAAAGGACTAGGCCAACAATACTAAGGTAACACCACAATGGTCAAGAAACCAGGCAGAATCCTCGCTCTGTCATATATAAACTAGGTGAGAAGAGAGCTTGCCTTACACTATTAAAGGAAGCTGTGTCCTTCTCTGAATATCAGGGACACCGAATGTTTATCTCGTGCCACTCCCGCCAGGATAAGGTAACATGCAAAAGCCTGCGAGAACACCTGTCTGCGGTATCCACATATCAGCAAAGTGAGTAGCGGCAGCAGCAGAATCACAGCATATACCTATGTACGCCACTGCCTGAGAGAGCTACAGTGTGCACACAGAACGACGCAATGGTCACAGGATACTGCTAAATGCTTACAGACATGAGAGCTACATACGAGAAATTTTATTGAACTAAACGGTCTACCTCTTGTCAGAAAGAAGGATAAACTCAGAGAACCAGAATTGACACTGCCTGACAGATCTATCTTTGAGTAATATTTTTCTTGTGAAATAGAAACCTCATCATCCCCCCCAAAAAAAAAAAAATCTTAGCTTTTAAACAAGGCTCCCTTCACCCACAAAAAGTCATGTCCAAGATCATCTAACTTTGTTAGGCATCCAACACTAGTGAGACCCAAGAACGAAACAAAAAGATTTTTTTAAAGCATATGAAAGTTCATGCTCAAGTCCTCACAAAGCCAATGCATCTTCATTTTATACATATTTAACAACACACAAATACTTGAGCACCTACCAGGTGCTGGGGCTTTTATCTTGGTTATGTGAATTATTTGCCACTAGCAATTCTGGGACAACTACTTAGGAAAAGCCACAGCAGGGACTGTGGGAATGAATAAAGTAGACAAGGAACAAGCCTGCTACAGAAAAGCTGCAAGAGTAAGAAGACAAAAAGAGGATGGGGGAAGGAAGATAAGACAGGGATCTAAAAGGCAGACCCAGAAAGCAATCAGCAAAACATCCATGAGAAAGGAACACGTTTTTAAACAGGGAAAAGTGAATGAGGTTCAGTTCATTCTTCCTGCCCAAAGAGCAGAGACCTTCCAGCAAGTCCTTCCTTTAAGCTCAAAGAGGAAGCCCTCTCCGACCAGGGCTGCACATAGGTGCCGCTCACTCATTGCAATTAGCCTAGGAGATGAAATCTGTTTGTTTTCCTGCTTTTAGGTATTTTCCTCACTCTCAACATTGTTGTTGATAGATCAGGAGCCCTGTGTTGCTGCTATTCATACTGTGCCCCTGTTAGGGGTTGAATCTAGATGTTCCCCCAAAGCCTCATGAGCTCATGGGTGGGGCTTTCCAGAGCCTGCCAGATCTAGGGCGTGCGGTAAGGGGGGTTAAGAGTGTGTGATGCTAAATTATTTCACTGATGGGAATTAGCATAATTCTGGGTGTAGAAGAACAGATTCACTGAAAACAGAAGCCTCACCCTGGGTGGCACCACCCAAAAGGTTTGTAGCCTGGATGCGATAAAAGGGAAGGGCAGGCTTGCTTCTGCTGCAGCTTGCTGCTTCCTGCTTCCTCTGCCATGAACTGTTTGTCCTCTGTGATGCCCCCCTGCCAAACTACCCTGCGTTGGAGCCAGGTTGACTGTGGACAGAAACCTCTACAAACCTGAGCTAAGATAAACCTTCTTTCCTTTGACTTTGGGTGTCAGGTATTTTGTCGCAGCCATGAGACACGTAACTGAGCCCTTAAATGATGAACAGTGCTTGTGCTATTTTTGGTGTGGTCTACCTGAGACAAGGATGTGTGTAGGACAGTTTGGACTGACTGCCCATTTTGGCACTAAAAGAGTTAATTTTCATCTACCTGAGACACAGTGACACCAAGTAAAAGAAGCAAACATTTTGCTTAAAAGCTACAGCTTTAAACATTATTTGCCATCAAACCTTGATTCTTTGAATGCTGATGATTGCTTCTGACACTCTCTCAATGGCTGCAGGGAAGAAGAGGGTGACAGTCAGCCGCACAGCCCCGTACAGTGTCATTGCCACAAACACGCGGCTGGCTGTGACCACGTGGCCAAGCAGCACGTAGCAGGAGAAGGTCACAAACACGATGATTTTGCTGGCAACAAAAAACGAAGCCAAATTCATCCCTCTGAGGTAGGAACTTCTCAGAACCTTGGAAATTTCCTTCCTGGAAAAAGGAGTAGAGAGAACACGCGTTTTCAGGGAGCACTGACATCGAAGTTATGAAAACAATTGCCCTGTGCACGGTGCCTCTGCAAGGCAGGAGACACCCATTAAGACAAACTGCCTGTGACGTCAGGGAATACTGTCAGCACATGCCCCGTGGCCAGCCTCCACACAAAGACTGCACAGAAGGCGGAACAGCGTTTCACTCGGCCAGCCACGAGATGCTTAAGGCACTGTGTAACTTAACATTCTGGGCCTTTGAACAGGCAGTCAAAGAAATTCATGCAACAGACATCTGTAAACCTAAGTTCTGGCCGGGGCGCCTCACTGAAGACAGAGAAATGAGTGAAATACAGCTTGTCCCTGCCGGGAGCTTAACAACTCCAGGGAGAAGAGAATAAGCCACCCCACAACCAAGGAATCGTGACTCCAAGACACGAGATGGCACAAAGTGGCTCATGGCAGTAGGGAGACAGGTGGGTGACTAGGAATGGTGGGGCCAGCAAGAGCTGCACACCCGGTGGGAGCCAGACAAGACTGAAAGGAAGAGTGCATTCGAACCCAGGGAGCCACACCGACAAAGGTGCACAAGTGACAGGTGGCCAGTGCCACCAGGGAATTACAAGTCGCGCTGCTGGAGATACAAAGACCTCCTCAAATATTTACATCAAAAGCCAAAACAAAATTTTCACAATATAAAGCAAAACAAAAAGAATGGTATTTCTAGAGCTGCTCGGAATGAATAATACTCATTTGTACCGTTTGGCTCAATCTGGTGCAGCCAATCTCCATAATCTTCCCATTCGGCCCCATGGACAGCAATTAGTTTTATTTTAAATGCAATATTCTCAAATATTTATATCTTGGAACCATTGCTTATTGGGGATTTGGAGTACTCAGAAACGTCTGGGACTTCTCCCAAATATTCCCAGTAAGAAGCACGTGTCTTTCTTGCTTTAAGGAAATGGCAAACGGAAGTGCAGGTTAAGATGATGTCATGTCCTGTGAATTCTACTTAACCTCAGTACCCTGGGCAGGGGTGCTGTGGATCATAATAAAGTCCATCCTGTTGTGAAAACAGAGTGAGACCTCCAAACGCCTTCAGTAAAAACAGAAAACAGAAAAACACAGTATAGTATGATGTACACAAAAACTCACCTTCTCAAACTGCTAATAAGGTCTGCAAATGACTTTTCCCAGGCGTACATTTTAATTATCCTTATTCCGGTTATAACTTCGTTCATGGTCCTGATCCTGGCATCTGTGAAGGCTGCAGTTTTACCCCTAAGGGGACAGGTGAGGAAATGAGCCACAGTGACAAAGGCAGCCTACCTTTCCTTATCAGCAGCGGGCACAGGCACAGCAGGCTAAGTCAAATGATTCCCTACAGCTCCTTGCAGCTTTTTCCGCTCTGACCACACAGCCAGATACACACATAATACAAATGGGAAAGACTGCAATTAGGAAGGCCACAAGTCATTCCAACTCCAGAAGTACTTCGGAGCGTTTGCAACGTTGGCTGAGGAAGACATGAAATGAGTCGGGGACAATCAACCCATCCCCGAGGGGCGCTCCGGTGGGAGGGAAGGGGCAAGGCTCCCAGATCCAGTGACGCACTACTGGCAGAGGCGGGGTGAGACAAGAATGAACTACGATGGAGCAGCAAGCAAAGGGCCGTTAATTCTGCTGGGAAAGCAGAGAACAAACACAAGTGTCAGGAGTACCAGATGCCTCCAAGGGTGAGGACCAGTTCTCCTCAGCAAAGAAAACAGAAAGGAAATCCAGGCAGAGAAAACTCAGGAGCAGAGACACCAAAGTGAGACCTCAAACACATAAACACCACGCATCTACCACTTACCCATCATTTTTTGTTTTTGTTTTTTTGTTTTGGACTTCTGGGGATTGAACACAGGGCCTTCACACTGAGCTTCATCCCAAGCCCTTATTTATGTTGAGACAGGTCTCATTAAGTTGCCCAGGCAGGCTAGGACCTGTGATCCTTCTGCTTCAGCCTCCCAAAGTGGTAGCATTTGCTGCCACAAGCAGCTTCTCATCTGATCATCCTGACAGTGACTTACTTCCAATTCTTTTTTTTTTTTTTTTTTTGGTACTAGAGATTGAACTCAGGACCTTGCACTTATAAGGCGTGTGGCAGCACCACTGAGCTAAATCCCCAGTCTTCACTCCCCAATTCTTAACACATTCGGCCTCTGATTTACAAACATTCGAGCTACAAACTTTCACAGACACGAATGGACTTCGAGTTATGAACATTCGTACATGGGAACAAATCGCAGAAGTAGCTTACGTGGTGTCTACTTTGCCATTTTAAGGTAGCTCTCAGAATAAAAATACTTCTACAGTGTCTTTGTGCTTTTTTTTTAATGCTTTACACTGTGTATCTGTGTCAAAGGTGTGTAAGACTCACTTTGTCAGACTTACACACGAATCCCACTTACGAATGTTCTTCTCCCCAGGGCAAAACTCATTCCTAAGTCGGGGACTTACAGTGCCTGCTTTAGGTCTAAGTCACTTTATCACTGAGCCCTTCATCACCTGCCATTTTCCTAATATACATGCTTCAAGGACCACAAGACTTTATAAAGACATCATTAAGATTGACCCTGTCCTTGGGGAATCTATAATTGAATGGAAATACAAAATTAAAAACAACACACGTGTACACACAGGAGAATATTTTGAACACAAGTATAACAAAAATCTATGGAGGCAGAGGAGCTGGGAAAAGTGGGAGAGAGGAGGGTAAGAGAAGTAAAACTGGTCAAGATGCAACATGTGTATGTACCAATTCGCCAAGATGGATGCGATTATGATGTATTTTAAATATATAATAATAAAAACTTGAAATGTATACAGTTAGAATCAGGCCTAGAGAATGTCTGAGTTTATTATTACTTAATGTGTGTTTAAATAACTTCTCTGTACGTAGTTTCTGCTTAGGGTTACTGTTAATCAGCCCATGGTGGCCCAAAAGCTATCTGGGAACAGCCAGCGAGTACCATCAGCTTCTACTGTAATACTAGCCTTCTGCTGACAGGGGGAGCCCTGCTGGCTGAGCCTGGAAGGCCTGAGACACATGCAAAGATAAAATAATAAAAGGCGCTTGTTTTGTTTCTGAACAAAAGCATTGGGCAGATGGCGGGAGCCACCAAATACATTATGACACGGTTTTCAAACCAATATTTCTCTTACCGCAGTGATGAAAACAACTTCCCAATGCAGCTTTGCAAAGGCAGAAGGATGATCAGAACTGCCATCCCGGCAAGACACGATATTCCTATTTCCATCCAGAGAAGGGCAGTCACTGCGATGGCCTGCAGTGGTCCCGCCCACAGAAAGTGCAAAAAGATCGTGACCTTCGAAGAAAAAGACGAGTACTTAGGACTGCATAAAGCGGAACCAGCAAGCATGCAGCACAGAAACACTCTGCTCCAAAAGAACAGAGGACTCAGACAGACGTGCCCACAGCAGGTTTTAAACCCAGGGAAGCACAAATGTGAGGTTGCCCCAGGCAGCCCAGGGCAGACTCAGGACCTGTGTCACGGGGGCCTTGGACTTGGCCATGGAAAGAGATTAGGACCTTATCTCCAAGCTCCCTCAGCCACAGAAATGAACCCCATCTCCCCTGGAGCTTCCCAGCACCTCAGGAAGCCCTGCATGCCAGTGCCCACCCATTCTCAGTAACATTTGTCTCCTACACAGGTTGCAGGCTTCTTCAGGGCAGAAACCAAATCTTATTAATCCCCCACACTGAGAAGAGGAGTGGGGATCTTTGTTTGGTGAATAAATAATTGAAAAAGAAGTTTGCTGACGAGCAGCCGGAGTGCCCCCAGATCATGTAATACATCGGGAGGAGGGAGGGTCATTTCTAGCAAGGACCATCCATGTGGTGTTGTTCATCAAAGCGTTCCTACAGACCAGCCACCGAACTGAGCCCTAGGAAAAGATCAACCACCACGCACCAGGAGCCCATCCTCGAGAAAAGGAAAAGGACAATTTAGCCAGCCACCTCCTCACCCTGTGCTAAGTGCTAAGGAGGAGGCGTACACAGGAGACAGGCGAGGACAGGAACACCGTCCTCGGCCTATTTATTATGGAAGTATGTTGCAGGCAACACCAGAAAAGCCAAACTCCCATCTACAGGATACACACACAGTACTACATCTAAGCTGCTCAGAGAAGTAAGACACAGATAAAAAGACCCCTATCTTGCTGACTTCCTCAGAAAAATCCTGCTCTGCACCCAAACTTAACATCCCAACAAGGTATGCTAAAGAAAAGGGACAAAGGTTGAAAATGAAGCCCTCACGTGCAGCTCACCTGATCAAACTTGTTCACATCGTTGGACAGCAGGTTGACTATCTGGCCTGTGGTTGTCTTGCCCAGGGCCACATTACTAAGACGAAGTGCCTGAAATAGAAAACAACAACTGACAAGGGCATCCCTAAGTGGCCTATGGCAAAGCCCGTTTCATGGGGGCCTCATGTGACATAAAGGCCAAAGCGACTGAAACAGTGGCTCTAGGATCAGGCCTTGTCCCTCCAAGGACAGCTTCACTGAGCAAGTAAAGAACAGGAACCCGATCCTGACAGAAAGGAAGAGGCTGAGAAAATCTAAAGAATGTTTAAAGTACCTATTCAAATAAAGCTGGAAATGTAGCTCAGTAGTAGAGCACTTTCCTAACACACACAAGGCTCTGGGTTCAATCTTCAGTACTGCAAAAAGGAGGAAAAAAAACAAAACAAAACACTACTTTGCCAGGACTGGCAATGCAGACCAGTAATCTCAGCAGTTAGGAAGCGGAGGCAGAAGGGTCACTGCAAGTTTGAGGCTAACCTGGGCTACACAGGGAGTTCAAGGCCAGTGAGAGCCTGTCTCAAAACAAATTTTAAAAAACCACTGGGATGAACTGGGATGCTGGGAAGGTGGTGCATTCTAAAGATCCCACTGGAGAGTCACAGCCACGCCCTCAGGCTAAATTCAAAATGGAAGTATGTGGTCTGCAGCTAAAATGTGGTACAGAGGCAGCAGATCCAATTCTGACAGGACGGTCTGCCAGAAGCAAAGCTAGACCCAACTCTGATGCATCTCTCACGACATTCAACACAGTAGACTCTTGCTATACAAAGACACACATTAAAAATGAACCAACAGAAGCAGACACTGAGATGACTCAGAAATTAGATAGAAATAGAAAGTAAGAGGAAAACGTGTGACTTTAAACATTTTACATTAAAAAGAAAAACAGCATGAAATGGATAATCTAAGATTCTCCCTAAAACCAGAGAAAGAAAAACAAATGCACTCTGTCCACATCTCCAGAGGGGCATTTAGTGTCAGCTCTCCGGGCACACAAATGCTGCTGTATTTAGTTACATAAACATGATGTGAACACAGCCCCCATTTAATGAGCACCTATTGCAAGCCAGGTGCCAGCCAGAACAGGAAAACAATCTTACAAAGTAAGAATTACTCCCACTCTGCAGATGAGAAAATGTGTGCCTACCAGAGAACGGGAACTCAACTTACTCTACTTTCTTTCTTTCTTTATTTCTTTCTTTCTTTTTGGAGACAGGGTCTCACTATGTACTTGAGACTGACCTGGAACTCACTATGTAGCCCAGGCTGGTCTCGAACTCAGAGCAATCCTCCTGCCTCAGCCTCCCGAGTGCTGGGATTACAGGCATGCGCCACTAAGTCTGGCAACTTTTTTTTTTTTTTTAATGAAGCAACTAACTGTTCCTGAATAATGTAGAAAATTAAAGTTGGCATAGATGTCATAGTTTAAAATGGTTCATGTTCGATGTGGAGAAAAATAATCTTCAAATTCTGTTAATATTTTAGTTATGCATTTTCCAAAAGGTATCTTTAAAAGGACACTATTTGGTTTCTCTTATGAAAGCAAAATAGTTCTATTGTGAAAACAATAAAAGGCAAACCAAAAGCAAAGTGGACTCAATCATTGCACTCTGTATGCCAGATCTAGGGTTAACTTCTTTAATAAGTCGAGACTACCTAGACATTAGTAAGAATTATAAAAATCTGCCAGCCCAAAAGAAAGAAGGAAAAGAAAATGCCAGGTGTGGCGGTGCACGGACTCCCAGCTGCTTGGGAGGGTAAGGGGAGCACCCAAATCCGAAGACAGCCTGAGGCCCTGGTTCAGTGACCAGCACACAGGGAGAGAAAGTGTGGTGTGCATGAGTCACAAACAGCGGGGCGTGGTGGGCATGCCTGTAATCCCAGCCCTCGGGAGGCTGAGGCAGAGGGACGCTGTGAGCTCGAGACCAGCCTGGGCTACGCAGTGAATTCCAGATCAGTCTCAACTACACAGTGAGACCCTGACTCAAAAATCAACAACAAACAAACCAACAGCTAATGAATACACGCAGTATTACAACTCACTATTAATTACTCAATGCCATATGAATCGATATAACAAGGCTGTTTTTATTTTTTTTAACCAAAGAAATCAACAACGGTTTAAAAACTATAGCTATCAGTCCAGATGGGGCTGGGCATGTGTGTGGCGTATCCCACTACTGGGGAGGGTGTAAAGAGTTAACAATTCTTGCCAGGGATTTAGCTCAGAGGTGCTGCCATGTGCCTCGAAAGTGCGCAGTCCAGAGTTCGATCGCCCGTACCCCCACCAAAAGAAAGTTAACACCTCTTGGGGAGGTGAACTGGCCTATTGAAAGCCTTCAATTGTGTACACCCTGAGGTGTACAATGAGGGCTGTGCCCAAAGGTGTAGCTTGAATCACACCTACTGCACTGCTGGTGGCAATACATAAAAACTGGAAGACAATCTAAGTGTCTGGTTACTGGTTACACCGGGCCTATGTGGCCATGAGGAACAGTGCCGTGAACTGTGGGATACAAACTCTATTGCAGGTCTGGTTACTACTTGAGACCGGGCAAGCAAGTACAACTGGGACGTGAGATCTCAGCAATCTGGACCAAAGCATTAATTTTATCCAACTTTTTCACTGTTGTTATTTTCAAGACAGGGTCTGCGCAGTCTGTGCTGGCCTTGAGCTTATTATATAGCCCAAGATGGCCTTGAATTGGGGACAATCCTCCTGCCTCAGCCTCCCAGATGCTAAGATTACAAGTGTGCACCACCATGCCCACCATAATTTTATTCAATTTTAAAAATAAATAAATCAAGTAGTCCTGGGCTGTAGCTCAGTGGTAGAAGAAGAGCAGCTTGACTTACACGTGGATGGTCCTGGGTTCGATGCCATGAAAAAGAAGTTGGAAAAAAAAAAAGTAGTATCTTTCATGTGTTTGAAAAATAAACAGCTTCTCCCTTCTCAATTTTTTTTTTTTTTTGTGGGGTACCGGGGATCGAACTCAGGCCCCTAAGCTTGCAAGGCAAGTGGTGGAACCACTGAGCTAAATCCCCGAACTCCTTCTCAATTATTTTTATCAGTGAATCTGAAACAAATACCCCAGCAGTATCCCCCTAAATACAGCCGAGGAAGGAACGAGGTACATGTCGGGTGGAGCTGGCCTTTCCCTGGAAGTGAATTTCCCCAGCTGGTGAAACGCACTCTCCCTTTCAGAGCCCAGCCTTTATTTTCGTAGAAGTCCTCTTAAAACAGCTGCAGGCTGGAGTTCATCTTCAAAATGTGGGTTCCTCAGCAGCAGCACACTCTTGTCCCACGCCAATGACCGCCGGCCAGCGAGTGCTCCCCACAAAGTGCTCCAAGTGCCCCTTGGCTCACATATCCTTTACCGTTTCTATTTTGTCCCTGTTACCAGGCTACCGGGTGTCTCTTGAACGTCTCAGACTATCTCCCCATTTCCTACGACTACCTTTAGATCAGGGGGATGACCTGATATTATTTCAAGTCAAGTCATGTCGGCCCTGCGTTGGCACCTAAAGGTTTCTGAGCATTTTGGGCTTGCTTCCTGGTGGCCCTACCCAGAGATAACTTTGTCAGATAATGGACCTTTCAGGTAAATCAGGCACTGCCGCAACATGAAACTATGAGCATGGTTAGCCACTGAAGCAAAAAACTGCCTGTATTTTTCCAATATTTTTGGCCTGAGTTGCTTAGTAATGCGCCACACCTGCTTTCTCAATTGCATAACCTAAAGACATTCACCGCTGTTTTTGAGGGGAGGACCCAGGAACTTACTATCCTCCTTCCCCACGAACACCCTCTGCAAAGTCAGTCGTGTTGCCTATACACTTCTGTGGAAGAAACTCAAGGAAATGAAAACCAAAATCCACACCAAACCACCACCTGCCATTCTCTATAAGCTGACAGCTCTGCTGCCTTCTGGGATGTGTTTTTGTTTTCTTTAGTTTTGTTTCTACCCGGTTTTCCAAGAAGGGTACACACGCTGGAAAACCTGTACAGAAAGTTCCCTGGAAGTGCTGAAGGGTGTGGCATTCAGCTGCTGGAGGTGCCCACAGCTCTTGCTTCCTGTGCCTTCCCCTCACCATGGCTGGGGTTAAGAGGCTAGAAAAACATGCCCAGGGTTGGGTCCTCCCCTCCACTCACAGAGGGGCCCTGGTACCATTCTCAGATCAAGGTGAGAATCAGGACACGGCCGCTTCTAGAAACCCAGAACTAAATTCAACAGGAACACTTCCTTCACAGACCCTCACCCCATCCCCTCAAAGGGCCAGAGAAAGGACCTGCTTAAGGCCACCAAGAGTTCCTAAAACCGGTCTCTCCAAAGCCCTGGGATTCCCAGATGCTCCCGGGCCCCAGTAGGATGAGGGTTTACAAACCACTGCACAGCTCATGCTGGCAAAGGCTACATAGGACACCCCGCAGTTCGCTGGAGAAGATGGGAACCAGAATGTCCCTGGGCCTCAAAAACAGCTCAGAAAACCTAATTACAGAAAAAAAATCAGTACTGTGATGAGTGAAGGGACGGGTAACACATATGGCTATAGAAGAAGTACAATTAAGAAGCTCCACGGACACCCATGGAAAGACCAGGGGGCACAACTTGGCGGCAATGGGCTGGCTGGGGGTTGCAGCCCCCAGAGTGGCTGACAGGCCCCTCAGCCCCAGGATCTCCCACCACCAGTGTCACTGCTTGCAAGAGAAGCCACATCTGACTGGCTTACCAAGTCAGAGAGGGAACACAGATGATCTGATGAGGAACGGGGAGGGAAAAAGCACAAACTCACGGACCGTGAGTGAGTGGGTGAGAAAAGAAAACCTCAGTGAGAGTAGAAATGAAGGCCGCCTCCACCTCAGGGAAGAGGAAAAACACCAAACTTCTGTCAGATTTTTTAATTTTTTCATATTTTTCTCCTTTGTTTCTAAAAGAAAAACGTAAAAATACAGACAAAAATGTGTTTATTATCTCCCTTCTCAAAAATGATGTGTTTGATCATAAGAAATTACACATAAAGCTACTGCCGACTCTTTTATACCAACTTTA